CCGGCGTTGGGCTGCACCGGGCGTCCTTCCAGCTCAGCCTCTTGTTGCTCATGCCGGCGTCACAGCCCATTACACCCAGCCAATTACATCTGATTCCTCTCCGGAGGGCGCTGGGCAGGGCCACCGCAGGAAGCAGAGGAGGCCCGAGAGGTTTCCAGATGAAGTAGCCTGTTGGGAAATCCTATTATGAAGCTCATCTTACAGGGCTGCAGTGTTAATGACCCCGGCCTCCCTGGGACCTCCACCGAGCTGGTCTCCCTGGGGCTTCAGGGGAAGCCATCTGGGCTGAGGCTTTCCTCCCACTCACCAGCCAGCTGCTGATGGCCACGGAGGACAGCAGGGCTTCTCGGTGCTGCTGAATGTGGCTGCCAGCACAGTGGCCTAAAACACACACGCACACACACACATGCACACACGCACATGCACACATGTGCACACACATGCACATACATGCTCACATGCACACGCACACACTTGCACACACATACATGCACACATCCACAAGCATGCTCAAGCATGCTCCCTTGAGCAGCCCGTCTTCTCTCTCAGCGCTTGGGAGGAGGCGGCAGGTGCAGGCCCAGAGCTGGGACCGGCGATCCTTGGGGAGATGGAAACAGGCCCTGGAATGGTCCTTTTTCCAAGAGCAGCTAGATTAGACACATTTTTCTCCACCTTAGAATCCTGCGGATTTTTTTTTTCGGCTCAACTCCCCCCAGGCTCATAAAGTGGCTCATCTCAGCTGCTCGAGTTGACAAAGGCACCGAAACTGTTGAAAGGTTCAGAATGTCCCTTGGGTTTCCAGGCATGAAGGAATTTATATGCAGGTAGGAAATTACCAAGGAAAAAAGTCCCCACTTGGAGAGGGGAGAGACATGTGAAGAAGACCTCATGGGAGATGCGCGGACGCGTCCAAGGCCGGGCAGCGGAGCCCTCAGCCCTAGCGCATGGGCTTTGACACAGGTGGGCAGCCTGGCAGACTCCAGACAGGGAGGTAGGTGCTCTGAGGACGGTCCTTCTGCAGGTTTAGCTGGAAGCCTCTGCCAGCATCCACAGTGGTTACGGCTGTGGCTGACTTCAGAGCCCTCCGGCAAAGCCACGTGGCTTCCCAGTTAAGGGCTCCCACCCGCAGCCCCAGCCTGATTTTCAGGCTTGAGCAGGGCAACAGGAGACGTGCAGGTTTGACCACAGCCCTGTGGCCAGCAGTGACATCCCCGGCGTTCTGAGTAAGCCAGAGGGTGGTGGCTTGCTCTTCTCTGCATCCCACAATAGTCCTCCTTCCACTCCCTGTGCCCATCTCCCTGCCAGAACCTTCTTTGGTTCCCCGGCACGTGGCACACCATGCCTACAGCCCAGCCTCCCCAGGGGCCACCTGCACAGCCTTCACAAAGGATCTGGACAGCGTCTGTCAGTGGTGCTGTCTGCAGTGGTGGCCCAGGCCAGCCAAGGGCAGGGTCAAGGGCAGGAGCAGGGAAGAATCAGGTATAGCATTGTCACTTCCGGAGTCCCCACCATGGCTGAAGAGGTAAACGTGTGGGGCTGCACCTGCAAGCTTCGGGGACCTTATCCCAGGAGGGTAAGCCAGGCCCTCAGGGAGCACTCAGCAGTAGCCGAGGTCTAAGTCACACAGAGACGCTGCTCCAGCCAGGATCTGGTGCCCAGAGCCGCCAGAGGCACCCTCTTGGGACACTGCACCCCTGAGTCTCCAACAGACACACAAAGAACCCACCTCGGCTGGATTCCTCCTAGCCAATGTCAGTCCCGGCCCTTCCTCATGCCCACGGCCCACCCTCGGCTCGGGCAGTATTTGCAGCTCTGCAGCACCAACAGAGCTTGCCCAGTGCCCGCCCTGGACGCGCCCAGCACTGAGCTCACACACACAGAGCCGACTTAGCCATCAAGCTGAGCAGGGAAGCGGGGGAGGGGAGACAAAGTGGTGGCAGTGGGGGTGGTTGGGCCATTTTCTTTCGACGAAAGCTTAGAATCAGAGGAGCTGCTGAGAGCCGTGGGGCAGCGGTGTGACTCTTCCTGGCGGGTCCAGTCTGTGTGTGCGGAGAGGAGGAGTCGGAAGGAGGCCTCGAGCCACAGAACCCTCCAGAAATGTGTGAGCTGCCCCCTGCACCTGCTGATGCACAAGTTCTCTCCACGGCTTCCTGCCCCACCTCCCGGCCTCTCTTCTCTCCAGCCTCCCTCCCCACGACAGGAGCAGCTCTAGGCCAGGATGACGCTCGCCCTGCTGGCCTGCCTAATTGGTTTCCAGGTGCCTCTGCCGAGCGCCTGGCCATCACAGCCTTCACCGAGAGAGGTTCACAGAGGCAAAGCGAACGCCAGGAAGACAGGGCTCCTTGCCCACCCTGAAGCCCCCTCCTTCCAGCAAAGAGCCGTACCTAGAAGCATCTAGGCTCCTGCCGCCTGTACGGAAGACATCAGCCAAGTCCCAGATCCAAACAGCCACAAATGACACAGCAGTAGACCCACACGCTGCGTGAACCACAGCCCGGCCACGCGTGGCAGCCTGGGTGTTCAGGGCTGGGCTGGGTGACAATGGCTGTCAGAGGCTCGCTGCTTCTCACCCATAGCTGCCCGCTATTCACCACACTCCCTGTGGCTGGCCTCGTGAGGACTGCTCGCACCAGGGAGGCCACCCTAGCACTACTGCGAAGGGGCACTGTGCCCACTTGTGGCAGCACAATACAGTGGCCCACATGGATGGAGGACTTTCCCTTGGAGATCCACCCTGGGGACTGGTCACAATCCCTCCTCATGCACTGCCCACTCCCACCAAGACGGCCACGCATGCCCGCGGCCAGGCCCTGGGGCCCTGGGCAGGAAGGTCTGGCCACAGAGTTAAGGCTGAAGCATGCGGGGGTGCATCTTACCTGTTTGTGAGACAGGAGGAAAGAGCAGCCCCCAGCCCCCTCCACTAGGTTACTGAGGCCCAGGAGCCATGAGGCCACCCAACTGTACTCTCTGAAATGCCACCAACATGTGGCAGCCCTGAGTTGGCCAAGTGACGGGGCCTGGGTGTCCGTTTCCTCCACCTCTGAGTGTGCCATCAGCAGTTTGTGAAGTCTAGGCAGGTAGGGTCACAACAGCTCTAGATCAGAGATCTCAGGACAGATCTCGGCAGAGTTCCGAGAAGGCTAAGAAACCACTTGGATTTGCATAGTTGTCCCCACGGGCCCTCCCGGGACGATGGCAGGAGGTGACTGACAAGCAGCATGGACAGCAGCAGCAGAACCGACCCCCCCACCCTCACCCCACCCCACCCCCACAACCACCAACACAGAAAAGTTCCAATTAGCCCAAGGAAACGAGAGCCTGTTCCCAGAGTCCCAATTAAATCAGAACCAATCAATGCCTGCTCCGGTTCCTGCCGTTTTGCTCAGGAAATAATGAGAAAAACGAGAGGGCCCCGGCCAGCAAGTGCAGCGTGGCAGCCCTTTGAAGCCCAGGGAAATCGCCCCTGCGCTGTGGCGGGCATGCCTGGCAGCCGTTGTACCTGCGCCTTTAAGAACTCAGCCCGGTGCCCTGGTCCCCACTCAGACCCCGATCAACACCAAAGAGGACCCCACCTGCCCCCTCTCCCCCTGCAACCAAAGGGACAAAGAGGAGCACTGTGGGACTAGGCCAGCTGGTTTCAAAACTGTTTCCATTGATTCATCCCTGAATGTGGGGCTCTCTCCCCTCTTTCCACACCATCCATCACAGTACCATAACCAAGAAATCCAATAAACACACAAAGGCCCAGCTCTGTGTCTCGGCAGGCCTCAGAGAGGCCGCATGAGTGCCCGGCCCAGGCAATTTGCTGAGTGCATAGCATTGCAAAGCCCATGGGCATTAACAGTCCCGGGCGGGCACATCTCCTGCAGGCATTTGGGGAGCATGGCGAGGCGGGGGCTAAACAGGCAACCAGCTGGTCTGGCACTCAGCAGAGACAACAGAGAGCAGGAGGCTCATGGTAGAGGAGGAGATGATACAGACCCCCAACTCCAAGGGCCTGGACCACCCCCGTGATATGTCAGGGTCGAGGGGATGATTCCTGGAGTCCATGGAGAAAATGTCCTCTAAAAGGAGGTTACAAGCAAAATCCAATAAGGAAGGAAAACCAGTCTCCGCTTCCCCAATCCTAGACTCCCCTATGTTCAACTTCTGTGACTTAGGCAAGACGCAAGGGCTAAGGCCTCCGTGCCCTTCTGTCCACCCCCACGGCAAGCTGAGCCTACAGCCAGGTCAGCACATCCATTGTCACACAGTGCACCTGGGGTCTCTAGGGCCCAGGGGAGCCGAGGGGCACACACCATGTCCTACACCCCCACCCTGCAAAGTTCCCATCACTCAGAAGCAAAAGACAACGCAAGACAGGACCCAGTCCCTCTCCCCCTCCAACAGCTTCATCTCCTTCCAGGCCTTGGCACTGAGCCCCTGGAGAAAGACAGCCAAGCAGAGGGCTTTGAGTTAATGAGCTACATGGGCTCAGCAGCAAGCTGAATGCTGTGGGATCTGGACTGAAATGAACTAAAATATTTTCTAAATTCAGTCACTTCTCAATTACCCTTGAGTGAATTGTCCATGACAACCCAAATTCTCCATGTCCCAGAGCTTGGGGCTAGAGGTAGGATGTAGGGGGTGTGTGAGCGTGTGTGTGTGTGTGTGTGTGTGTGTGTGAGAGAGAGAGAGAGAGGGAGGGAGAGAGAGAGGGCAAGGGAATATGTTTGTGTCCCCAAACTAAATATAACCGTGTGGTTATTCAGTTATCTTCCACTATCTGTAATTCTCCCATCTCTTCCTCTCTGCGTGAATAAGGACAGCCTGGTTGGACACAGTGGGAAAATCAGCAGGCCTAGCACCGAGAACAGCCAGTTCTGCAGGGCTTTCCCCTAAGCCTCTAGGCTCCTTCTGTTCCTGGAGGTCCCAGAGCTGGAGGAAGGGACGCCTTGCAGGCTGGGCTCTGCCCAAGGTGGGCAGGAGGCCGAGGCCCTAAGAGGCCCCCAGGAGCTTACCCTTGCAGGCCACGCTGTTCTCCGGCTCATAGCCAGCCTTGCAGGTGCAGCGCCCGATGGGCACCATCCACTCCCCGTCGCCGTTGCAGTAGAGTTTGATGGGCACGTCCACTTCCTCTGCATTGGGGATGCACGTGCCCCGGGCAATCACCAGGGATGTGCTCTCCGCCCCCGTCATGGTCTCTGGGAACACTGCGAAATTTTGCACGATGCTGGGGCACTTTTTGAAGAAGACCCGGACCGAAAGGAGAGACATGCAGGCCCCGTAATCCTGGAAGGCGAGGTAAAAGCCGTTCCGCGTGAGCGGCCCGAAGCTCCTGACTTCTGTGTTGACTTTCATCAGCCTTCCCCCGAAGTCTACCTGGGAGAAGCTCTCGTCCGCAGCGATGGTGTCCACCTTGAGGTAGGGGGCTTCGGACCAGAAGGCCGACTTCTTGGTGGCGATGACCGAGTCGGTCTCGTAGTAGTACAAGTTGAAGGTCTCCTTGCAGGAGCCGGGGACGTTGGGGAGGCTGCTGCAGTCTCTCACGGTGAAGCGCATCTCGGCGTAGATGCGGTGGGCCCCGCGCCGGTCGATGAACGTGGTGAGCAGCCAGTTGTTCTGGTTGGGCTCGAAGACGTTGCACACCTGGTACGTGCGGATGGTGTTCAGGTTCTCATCGTAGCCACTGACTTCTTCCCACTGCACCAAGCCGGCCACAGACAAAGACACAAAGCAGAAGGGTGAGAAGACAGAAAGAAGCAAGGCAGCCAAGACTCCCGGGGCGGGGAGGGGCCTGGGCGCTCAGCAGTCTGGCTGCTGGGCTCGAGAAACGAACGCCTCCAACCCCAAGCTGGTGTCACGGGCAGATGCAGACTTAGTGATGTCTCTGCAGCTCATCCCCAGATACCACAGACTTCCCCCCTGGAGGGCTCTCCACCCCACCTTTTTTTTTTTTTTTTTTTTTTTTTTTTTTTTTTTTTGACAGGCAGAGTGGACAGTGAGAGAGAGAGAAAGAGAGAAAGGTCTTCCTTTACTGTTTGTTCACCCTCCAATGGCCGCCGCGGCAGGCGCGCTGCGGCCGGCGCACCGCGCTGATCCAATGGCAGGAGCCAGGAGCCAGGTGCTTTTCCTGGTCTCCCATGGGGTGCAGGGCCCAAGCACCTGGGCCATCCTCCACTGCACTCCTGGGCCACAGCAGAGAGCTGGCCTGGAAGAGGGGCAACCGGGACAGAATCCAGCGCCCCAACCGGGACTAGAACCCGGTGTGCTGGCGCCGCAAGGTGGAGGATTAGCCTAGTGAGCCGCGGCGCCGGCCCACCCCACCTTAATCTAGCACCTTGCTCTCATGCTGTGACCGGGGCTCCTGGCCTCCATGGGGACAATCTGCAGCAGCCAGCAGGATGGAGAGATGATGGAGAGACTGCTTCCTCACTGCCCCAGCCTCTACTCTCTACAGCCACTCACTCTGTGGACCAAGGGTCCACCTCTCGCTTCTTTATATCTATCTCTGGAAAACATATGAATGTAAAGCTTTTCCGAATTTCTCAACAAACTTAGAGTCTCACACACTTTTGTTTGATAACCTCACTCTCTTTGACAGAGCTAGACTGTGAAACTGGCAAGAGAGTGAGTGCAGCGCCGGAGCTGTGGCGTAGCAAGCCACCACCTGCAGTGCCAGCATCCCATATGGACGCCGGTTCAAGTCCCAGATGCTCCACTTCCAATCCAGCTCTCTGCTATGGCCTGGGGAAGCAGTAGAAGATGGCCCAAGTCCTTGGGACCCCTGCACCCATATGGGAGACCCGGAATTTGCTTCTGGGTTCCTGGCTTCAGATTGGCATAGCTCCAGCCATAGTGGTCAACTGGGGAGTGAACTAGAGGATGAAATATCTCTCCTCTCTCCCTCTCTCTCTAACTCTGACTTTCAAATAAATAAATAAATCTTTTTTAAAAAAAAGTGAGTGAGTGGGCTGCTACAAGAGACCCTTCCTGAAGCAAATTAGGCTCCACTATGCGCAACTTTTAAGCAAAGGTGTGATGGAGGGGAATGTTGGGGGGCAGGGCGTTACATAGGGAGCAGGGCAGTCAATCCCCACGCACACTGGAACAGAGAGAGCCCCCATTTTTAGCAGCCCTGTGGACCTGGAAGAACACAGTTTCCAGCGATGTCACTCAGTCCTCCCAGCAACTTTGAAAACCCGGTGCTGCTACCTTTAATTTCCTTAGGAACTTCCCTGCGAGTCACGTGACTCTAAGAGAAGAGCTGGAAGAAATATTTGCAATGGCCACAGAAATTCACCGGAGAACTTGTAGAAGATGTTACAAAAATAGGTGATGGGGGTGAGGGGCAGGGGAAAAGTCTGTGCGGACAAGGCTCTGGGGCGGGGGTCAAAGAAGAGTTGCCAGGGCTGGTGTCATGGCACAGCAGGTAAAGCCATGGCCTTCAAGGCTGGCATCCCATATGATCTCCGGTTCAAGTCCCAGCTGCTCCACTTCCAATGCAGCTCCCTGCTAATGTGCCTGGGGAGGCAACAGAAGATGGTCCACGTGCTTGGGCCCCTGCCTCCCATGTGGGAGACCCAGATGGAGCTCCTGGCTTCAGCCTGGCCCAGCCCCCACTGTTGAAGCCATTTGGGGAGTGAACCAGCAGATGGGAGATCTCCTCTCTCTCTCTCTCTCTCTCTCTCTCTCTCTCTCTATATATATATATATATATATATATATCTCCTCTCTGTAACTCTGCCTTTCAAGTCAATCAATCAATCTCAGAAAAGAAAAAGAAAGAAAACAGAGAAAGAAAAGTTGCCAGACCATTCTTGCTCCCCTGTGCAGGCGAGAGTGCAGGCACGGAGCAAACAGCTGCTCACACCCGGGAGCTCAGGACCCCGACCCCAGCACTGAGGGTTTTCCCAGCAACGAAAGCTAAAGGTATGTTCTGCCTAAGACAAACAAGGGACACAAAAATGAAACTTCCCAAGGCGACAAGAGAAAACAGAATGAGACTTTTGACTAGTGAGCACTGGTAATCACAGCGCAGCCATTATTAAACACTGCATTCATTGCTTGTGATGCACAGTACTGAGCTTCAACATATGAACCCGACAATTCAGGAATAGAATTAAAAGCCAATAATGAGTGCAAGGGAAATACTGCAACTGCTTCTTTCAAGGAGTAAAGCCCTGTGGAGGCAGGAGGATAGGGACAAGGCTGCCCTTCCATGTTAAAAAAGGACATCTATGAACACGGTACAGTGTAGAGGTGCGGGGGAGCAATGGGTGGTGGAGAGCTGGCCCTGCACCTGCAGACTTGGGAAGGGACCTCCCTCATGACACCCCTGCTGCCGGGGCCCCTGCCACCGACGCACCTCAGCTGCAACCCATCCAGGGCCTTCGGGATGGCCAGCATTCCCAGAGTGCCTGTCCCCTCCCCAGCCAGAAGTCCAAAGTCAGCTTCTTGCAGGATCTCTGTGCTGGTTCAAAGGCACATGGGTCACCCTGATTCCTGCCCTAGATAAAGTCTGCCCTGCTCACACAAAGCACCCAGCATCCTACCTATCACTCCATCCCCAACCACCATGCACGGTCCCTCGTGGTCTCCTGTTCTGCTTGATCTTCTGCAGTACCCAAGACTTCCATGTTACCCAACACCCCTCTCTGTTTCCACCTCCAACTGCATTCCCACACTGCGCCTTCTACCCCAACCCCATTCTATTTGCTGTGCCCGAGTGACTGCAGCTCTGGGAGGTGGCCACCTGCCAGCACACGCTCCCCAGGCCAAACCGGGAACCCCACTTCGTGCTTCCACATCTCTTGGTCCACTGTTGTAAGAACAGGAGTCAGCGCACCCGGCAAAGGCTGTGGCGTGTTGGTGACACTGCCGGCATCCCATAGCCTGGGCAGTGTACTGTGTACTGTAGGGTGAGAGGGCCTCCCTGCTCCCAGACCCCAGTGCAGGGACCCCAGGGAAGACAGAGCTCAATTTCATGGCTCCTGGAGAGCATAAATTCCCACTGTCAACACCTGCGTGCACCTTTCTTAATTTCTTATTGATTCTCTAGATGTACAGGGACCACTTTTTCTTCCATCTTCCAGACAGTGCTTTGTTCTATTTCAACACATTTGTTAAAGTTGCGTTCTGCTTGCCTGGTTTTTTGGGGGATCAGAAAGCAAGTCTATTGGGGGAGAAGACGGCGCTGACAGTGTTTCAGATTGGAAATTCAGCATGCCCTCCCTCTCTGCGCCTGTGCCAAAACAGTCCCCAGCTGACCCTACATGACTTCGGAAGGGAAGGCGGGGTGGCTTCCTCTGCTGTTCTGCAGTTGTCTAAACACAGCAGCTCCATTGTTCCAACTGAGTCTCCACACAAATGCAGGGACCCTGGGCCGAAGATGCGCAGGTGAAGTGCGTGTGCGGCCCCACTTCAGCCACGAGTAACGCAGCCCTGCTGTGGTGGCCGGACAGGAAGCCCAGCCTGTGGGTTCACCTTAGCACCCGATTCCGCTGCCATCTGCAGGCCTTTAAATAAACCCCAGGAGGATTTCCACTCATTTATCTCAGCAAGTGACACTGATCAGTAGGAGGAGACCCATCATGGGGAATCATCGTGGGGAATCGTTTCCAACGTTAACCCCTCGGAGCCTCAGTCTCCATCTGTAAAATTCGGACTCATCCTGGCTGACCTCCACTCCTCGAATTCTACAGACCCAATTGATTCCCTGACAGCTCCTCAGGGAGCGATCAAAGCAAATTAGGGGGAAGGGAAGGAGGTGAAAGAGACAGAAAAGAAAGGAAAACAGCTCCCTGTTGTTCCGGGACATCCTGGAGCCTCGCATTCATCCCCCTCCCCCTGTCCTTCCTCTGCAGACAGCAGGTGCTGCCCGCGTGGGAGAAAGCAGTGTCCAGAGTGGGCCAGCGGAGGCCAGGCGGAGGCCCCCTCCTGAGCAAGTGGCCACGGGGCTGGGGGCCTTGAGAAGACGACTCAGGCTGATGAGATGGGGGCGGATGCGCTCCCAGCAGGGCGGGACCCACGCCGGCACTTGTTTCTGATGCCTGGCATCAGCCTACACCTCACTCATTCATCAGTGGAGATATTTACCACACGCCAGCTCTGTGCTGGGCATGCTATGAGCCACTGGGGATACCTCCATGCGAACCTTGTAATCTAGGGAGAGAAACCGGAATTAGAAAAGGGTGATTAAAAGAACTAGAGACCTAGGACTGTGCTCAGCCCAGGGGTTGGAACATTGCGGGAGTCAAAGAGAAGGGGTGCACCTGGTGCTCAGGAGAGTGTTGGGGAGGATCCTCCAAGACGAGAAGGGAGCAGGTGGGTAAACTGAGCCAGGAGACGTGTGCCTGCCACAGGCAGGAGGGGCCAGGGCATCTGGACCACTGGGCAGCACAAGGGCGAGGGCCTTGGCGGGAAAAGGCATCCTGGCCCCACTGACGCACCGAGCCAGTGTCAGAGAGCGCGAGAGGTGGCAGGAACGAGGCCGAGCAGGAAAGCGGGCGTGGTGGAGAATTCTAGATTTCAATATGATGAGTCCTTGAGAGGACAAACAGAGGCAGCCACGCCAGGAGAGCAGCCCGAGTGCGTGGGGGCACAACGGAAGTCGTTGCAGTGGTTCCACAGGAGGCCATGTGGGTTGGGCCAGACTGGTGGAGGTGGAAAGAGATTCTAGGGGCAGGGAATCCCCAGGCCCT